AAAATACATATTTCGAGTGAAATGGGGGGAGGGGGAATTATTAAACTTTATACTATAGTTTTACAGCCTGATCCATCACAGTCATGACACTAGGCATGTATCCCCTAAGAGCTATTGATTTTATTGTTAAGTGACATTTCTAGCGTCCTTTTGATTCTTAAAATAAATCATTCATTTTATAATTTCCCTAAAAATAGAATTAAGAAATAAGGGGCACTATTATAGCCCCATCCAGGGGCGGCAATTTCTTTTCATGACCGGGGGATGAAATGCATGCGAGGGACGAGGGAGCAAAATAAACGAGAGGAACGAAGGTGACGGAAATGACTACCCCTCGCAGGTTTTTTTTAAAATTTTGTTTACCCTTTTTCTACAGTATTTACTTGTACATTTTGAAAGTTATTATGCAAGGGAGCGTAGCGAACGAGCGAGAAGATTTTTGCATTTTTATTAGTCTAAACGCTGCACTCTTGGTTCCTCCAGAGCCTATACAAGACTGTGTTAGATAGATAGAAATAGATAGAAATGGTTTTTATTAAAAAGATCATCGCAGCCAATGGCTGAATTGCGATCCATTTCACAAGGTTATATACAATACAATTGCAATTCAAATTGAAATAACACAACATATGACATAAATCAATAATCAAACATAGACATTTCATAAACATTCATTGATCAGATTCAAATTTTGTTAAAAAAAGAAAGAGATAGGGAGAGGTGTAGGAGAGGGAGAGTTGGAGTGATGACAAAGAGAGAGAAGGAGAGAAAGAAAGAGAAAGGGGACGGGAGAGAAAGACGGAAAGAGAGAGAGTTGAAGAGAGGAAGAGACAGACAAAGGGTACCTTATCATTACAGATGAGGGAGATGGCAAGAAATATTCAGTATTGCAGAAAATTGAGATAAAAACTATCAAAATTCATTCACATATTTCAATCATGGACTGTGAAATTCTAAAAAATATGATATTACATTTTATTCAAAAGATTTATAAAGTAAGGAAGAGAGCTGCACTGGAAGCGTTTTGTTTTACATTGGTATTGTTTAAACTTTGATTGAGATCTTAGAGAATAAGTGCTTTGTTGTCTAAGAGGTAAACATTCTTTAAATTGTGGGTGTTTGACAAGTGCATTTGCAAAGTCTATACATAACTGCTTACGTCTTGCTTCTAATGAACATAGATTGCACGTTTCCAATGCTGCTTCATAATTTTCATACTGACGTCCTAAAATGTTGCAGTCTTTGGTCTGTATTTGCTATTAAAAATAATACTAACTTAAAGTAACTTTTGCAAATTTTGTTTCTTGTGTGTACTTGAAACATGTCAGAGTGGGCTCACCCTGGATCCATCAAATTGTACTCAACGTGCTTTGAAGAGCAGTCGTGCAGTTTTTTACACACCAATTAATGACAATATTATTGTCTTTTTTCCTTGGTTGTATTTTTTTTAGAAAATGGGCTAAGGCTTTAAAATTATAGGAAAAATAGCTAATGACTCCTCTGTCAATGGAATCATCGAAGAGGTAATCTTGAAAAGAAAAAGACGGGCAAAAAAAAAAGGAAAAAGAAAATATTGTGACCAGAAATTTACCTTTTTTTTAATCAAAGAAATGGGGGGGGGGGGGGGGGGTGTTGAGTAAAGAAAAATAAAAAGCGCTCACTATGCCACCCCATCCCCCTCCCCACTGATTGAAATATCGGCCGGCGCGATTTTCAAATTTTCGGGGTCAAAATAGAAAAGAAAAAATATACTGCTCACTACTTTCAGCACACTTAATTTCAAAATTGATTTCAAATTGGGCCTCCCCCCTAAGAAATCCTGGATGCGCGCCTGATCTCGGGGGTAAATAATATTCCCTCGCCTTCAACTCGGGAATATAGTATGCATGCATGGTCTCTCTCTCTATCTCTCTCTCTCTCTCTCTCTCTCTCTCTCTCTCTCTCAGTTGGCGGTTGGGGGGGGGGGGAGGGGCGTATAGCTGCTAGCAATCTCTTTCCCGAAAATTATTTCCCTCGGGAATCGCGCCGGTCCCCTCAATGCCCTTTCAGATTTGGTAGAGATGGGTAGTAGTATAGCAAATTACCTCTTTTTGTTATCGTTGAAAAAATATGCTTAGAGAATATGTGTGAATCGATAGTCGGATCCTTGATTGTCAGAAAGATGGCCGAAAATGTGCCCCCAGCATGACCCTAAATTTAAACCAAATCCCACCAGTTCTAACTTTCCTTGTCAACATGGTGCATGAGCACCACGACATGATTTATTGTCAGGCTATACAATATCAAAATAGTGATGGTTATATTTGAAGTTCGCTGCGACAGGCATGACATGCTAGCATTAATACAATGATTACAATCATTTTTTTTCATTCCGAATTTTTTAATGATACTGTCGAACCCCTGAAATCTTTCTTGTTCCGCATCCGATTCCACCGTTTTGTTGACGTTGTCTTGCATAATTAATTTAGGAAATGTTATAAAACGTTAAACACGGAAATGATAAAGTTTTTTGACATCTTGACATCAGATCAGTGAAGATAATGAATTTGGTGCACAGAGAAGTCAACAACATTTAATCCTCCATCCCTCATCACATTACGGTCTAGTAGTTTCAAAGAGAATAGAGTAAGCACTACATTTTTTCTTTCTATTTTGACCCCCAAAATTTGAAAATCGCGCCGGCTGATATTTCACTCAGTGGGGGGGGGGGGGGGGGGGTGGCATAGTGAGCGCTTTTTTTATATTACTCAACACCCCCCCCCCCCCCCCTTGAGCAAGAAAAGGGTAATTTCTGGTCACAAAAAAATAATATAAAAAACTTTTTTGTTGTTGCCAGGGGGGAGGTCGTCTTTTTTGGGGGGCCGGGCCCGCCAGGGGGGGGGGGGCAAGGCCCGCTCGGTCCCCTGCAGGGGACCCATGGGTCCGCGCCTGGTTATACTGTCTTATTTCATATGAAATGACATTTATATATCTCCCCTCTTTGGGAGGGGGGGGGGGAACTTCAAATAATTTGTATTTATCATTGACATCTAGGCCAATGTGTCGCACGGAATTTCAAAAGTAGGGTGTTCAGACCATTTATTCTGCAACGACAAGGTCAATTGTGTCTGGTAGAAAAATGCGCGACCCAACATTTATTTTATTTATTCGATGTTCTCTCTATATAATAAAGGAGCATTCATTTTCATCTTTCTTATTCTTATTTTTTTTTGCTATAGGCGGAGAAGAGCTTCAGCCGCCCCAAAGCCCCCACCCCCGAGATGTTATAGTGATAATAAGCTCCCCCCCCCCCCCCCCACTTTCCCTCTCCTGGGTCCCCTCTCCTCCCCCCCCCTCTCTCTCTCTCTCTCTCTCTCTCTCTGTCTCTCTCTCTCTCACTCTTAGTGTTTTTCCTTCTTCTTCTTATTTTCGTCATTCTTTGGAGAGGCACGTTCATCCAGCCCCATTAAGCCGCTTGGTAGATATATCTCATTGTGGCAAAATTGGAATTTCATGAGAAAAGGCATCATGAAAACCAATCGTTAAAACTAATTTTAATTGGGCTCAATCTTCCGTCATAACAACAAATCGCACATTATAGAGGAAAAATGGTCTAATCTTTCATTAGAAAGGGAAAAAATAGGGACGCGCAACTTTTCTTTTATATACGCCACTTGGCACCGCTAGCCCGAAGTTGGCCCTAGCGCCCTTTAATCTTAAGCTCTCGGTGCTATATAGCATGGATTTTCCGAGTAAAATCCATGATATAATTTTGTAACAATTCATAAGATGGAGACAGGGTTTATCAGAGGCGACGGATCCGGGGAAGCGAAGGGGCCCACATATAGCATTGCCCTGACGATTGTAAGACGCATTGAATGTTTAGCACAATAAGACAACACTGAATACGGTAAAGGGTTTTAGGACAATTACCCCCTGGACAATCACCCCCCTGGGAAATTTCCCCTGGAAAACTACCCCCAAAAGACAATACCCCCCCGGAAAATTATCCCAAAGGACAACCACCCACGAAGACAATAACCCCCCCCCCCCGGACATTACCCCTAGGACAATTACCCTCGGAAAAATACTGCATTTATTAAAATCATTGCACTTATCAGGGTGGACTTCCCCTTTAAACAGGGAGTTTGGGGGGGGGTAGAATTTTCCGGGGGAATATGGCTAGGGGGTAATTTGCAGGGGTGGGAGATCATCGGTGGGGGGGGGGGGGTAATTGTCCGGGGGTGATTGTCCTGCATGATACGACGATGCTGAGCATTGGGGATAACGGGGGAGGGGGCAGGGGTGTTGACAAAAGCTTTAGTAATATTTTGGGGCCGGATTTTATGCTTGCCTGCTCTTCAGAGAAGTTTGATTAAAAAAGTGTCTGAAAATAGGATAACCCTTGTTATCATTGTCTTTGATGGTTGTTGTTGTTATTACTGTCATTGTAATTATCATTAGTATTATCATTAACCTGCCTACTATTTTATTTATATCATAAAATATAGTATTATTATAGTAATTTATCATATTATTATTATTTTATCATTATCATTTTTATCATTATTATTTTTATTATTGTTATTATTATGATTATTATTGTAATAATTAATTTGCTCGTCAAAAAGAAACTTTCGGCCAACTGCACCATTGATCAGCCACTCTGTGGAGGGCTGTGAATGAAAATTTAGACAGTGATGTCTGGTGGAAGAAGACAAAGATCGTTTTCATGATAGCTATGCGTTTGATAATTTTCCTCGGCGACATAATGGTATCCTTTCCTCATTTTCATCTTCCTCATAGTTACAAGAACAAAGGCCGGTGCAGGCAAATGAACTCCAAGATCAGATGAGTAATGTTCACTCGAGCGAATAGCTGAAGAAATGTATTGAACATAGACAGAGCTAGCTCAGTTGAGAGATCGCGTTGCCAGTCACTACGTAACTAAGCGACCACCGGGCTATTGTAATAAGTCACTAGTGCGAAACACACGTGTAATGTTTGTGTGTACCGCAAATTACACAAATCTGGATGTCAGTTAGCAACAAGAACGCCACCGAGCAAGTCAACGTCGCGGCACTCTCCATATTTTCAAACTCATTCACTACTTCAACTCGCCAAAATGTTCAAAAACACATTCCAGAGTGGATTTTTGTCAATATTATACAGCATAGGCAGTAAACCTTTGCAGATATGGGATAAGAAGGTAAGTTTGAATATCGTAAAGTAAAATTTGACATGTGTTTTGATTCAGCAGCTGATGATTTTGCTCAGCGTATTTTCTGTCCATAACAACGCCTGGAGTAGCGGGGCAGCTTTTGATAGAAGCACTCACAACATGTTTACAAGGCCGAGGATAACATACAGATGCAGCTAGCAACAGATGCAAGCCTTTTTCATTCATCAACATTGTTGGATATTCATATCAAAGTTTTAAGGGGATAATTATAATACTATTTTCACTTGCATGTTACTTTTTAGATCATAATTTTTGACAGTTCTGTGCTTCATTTGTCCAATCTGAAAAGATTATTTCCGCCTGGCATTGCGAGTTCTTCATCAATGATGAGACTGAAAACGATCAGTTAGTATGAATGATGAGTATGACACTAAGTAAGGAGTGAGGTCAGGAATAGTGGGGGACAGTTGAGTGGATAGCCAGATGAATGAATGGCATGTCAATACTGACAATAGCTATCAATTTCAATTGACAGATAGAGTCTGCCTCAACAAAGTCATTATTTTAAACATGATTCTCAATGTATTACCCATGCTACCAACTTGGCTGTTACCGGTAGTTACTAGACTATGTTGTGTTAATACATAGACTTGTCAATTATTTTGATGTTGTTATAATGATCTAGACTAGATATAATTCAACATTAAGTGAATTAATTTCTTATGATTTCCTTTTCACTTTGTTATTTTAGGTGAGGAATGGCCATATCAAAAGAATCACAGACAACGACATCCAATCACTAGTACTAGAAATTGTTGGAACAAATGTCAGGTAAGTCCAGTCACTTTTTCCAATTATATTCTCGAAGCAGGGCTCAACTTTTTAATGTGAATAGACTTTTGCATTCTTTAGTTATAATATTCTCAAAAGTTGGCTGTCAAAGAAATTCAGTGTGAAACTGTGTACTTTATAGAGGATATTTTTATTTTTTGTTGTTGAATGTATTGAGTTTGACTCAAACTAGACTTCTACTGGTAGGGTCTAACATCTATTCTATTTTGCTTAATGTACTTTACTTTTAAAACTCTTTTGTTTTCTTGCTGCTGAAGCTAATTGTGGTCCACGACCTTGTAAATAACAAATACTTACAAAATGAGTTACACACATGTAGTATATATAAACTGCAGAGGTCCTAATGTGCTTTGTCATTAAATTTTAAGGACTTTGACTTAGATCTTCAAATTTATAACCCTATCTAATTTGACCTGCCTCCTTATTCACCCACAGCACAACATTGATTGAATGTCCGGCTGATGCAAGGAAGACACTCGGCATCAAGCTCCCATTTTTAGTCATGATCATCAAGAATCTAAAGAAGTACTTCACATTCGAGGTCCAGGTCCTCGACGACAAGAATGTGAGGAGACGGTTCAGAGCAAGCAACTACCAGAGCACAACGCGAGTCAAACCTTTCATCTGTACCATGCCCATGAGGCTAGACGATGGCTGGAATCAAATTCAGGTAGTTACTTCTTTTTTTTTAAACTGTAAATTTATGAAAGATCTGAATTTTTAGGGCTCCTTCCTCACTGAGAGAGGTAAACCGCCTCCGGTTGAATAAAACCTGTAAATGTGTCTGTGAATTGCACTGTTCACAAAGAAAAGCAGAGGGTGGGGGTGTAGGAATTCTTTTGCTCCAATGGCTTATGCATACTCACAGATCAGTAGGAATGATCCTCAATTGCCAATGTTATACTCTTTGCTGAAACAGATCATTTGAAAAACTTTAAATAAGTGTCACACAGTCTTTGTTGTTGACCCCCCCCCCCCCCCCCATCATTCTCTAAACTGATCTTTGACTTTTACATTCAACCCATTGCCCATTTTCAATCCTAACACGCATAGCATAACTTTTATACATTTAATTTTATGATTTCTTTTCATTTTGTTCCAAACAGTTCAACCTCTCAGATTTCACAAGGAGGGCATACGGCACCAACTACATTGAGACCATTAGAGTAAATGTAAGTATTTTCAACTTTTCATTTTTTTCTCCATCTTTTTATGCTTTTGTTTAATAGGGAGGAAAAAAAAAGAAAAGATATTTTTTTTTTTTTTTTTTAAATCGTATTTATGCATAAGTAGCACATAGCACCATACAGCTCTAATGCTGAACTTGGATAGTGATATAGAAATGGACACTTGTCATTCATGTGTATCTACCCTTTTAAATTCCTTTATTTAGTTTAATGAATTTGATATGTATTGATGTCTCTCAAATTTAGCAAGGTAGTAAAGGGTTTCACTAATCATCTGGTTCATTTATTTTATTATTATTATTTAATTTTTTGTTCCCAGATTCATGCAAACTGCCGAATCCGAAGAGTCTACTTCTCCGACAGACTGTACTCCGAAGACGAACTACCTGCAGAATTCAAACTCTACTTGCCCATTCAAAAGGGTATGGCTACCAAGAACTAAGGGATAACCTGGAAAATACAAAAGACTTGCAATACTAAAACCAAATCTGTTTTGGACGATGTGGAAGAACTTTACAATGTCGCTGGAAGACATTTTTTGCTTCACGCAAACTCATGGTGCACCTTCTTCTATTTTTAAAGGAGAAATTTGTTTTAGAAAATGTTCTTGAATTGTTATATGAAAAGGAACCATAGAAATGATAGAAAGATGGTTCTGTGCAATTTGACTCAGCATTGTTTTTAGATATTGGAGTCCCTTGGCAAAAGGATGAAGATAAAAAAGTCCCTCGATTTATACGGCTAAGGTTTGGATGTTTATGTAATGTGTCAGAGACTCCTATTTAAGAGAACAGCCTGTGCTTCATAAAATATTTAACCAAGTTAAGTGGGTGAAGCCTAGGACCCTTAGGAGAAAAACACATTAGATACTGGCTGAAATAAAACAGAGGAACAGAATGTTTTACATGGCATTGGAATCAAGTTTCAATATTTTTACAGAAAATATCTTAAGGATATCTCAAATAAATAGCAGATTGAAAAACTAATGATTTGACCTCATAGTATTACCAAATATTAAGTTGTGTATCGTTTTTGTTACTGTTAAGCTATTTAGATGTTGGAAATTTTTTTGATGAGGCCTAAAAAGAAAAGATGTTGTATTGCCCTTTAGGTGCCAAAACATCGGTTGGTCGGTCGGTCGGAAATCTTTAAAAAAACAAAAATAATAATAATTTATTCTCCCTCTTTGGGCTGATATTTCTCAGTTTTTAATGCTTTAATACAGATTTTTTTGTTATATTCATTGAAGATTTTTTCTCTCTAAAAAAATGGTTAAAAAAAAAGAAGAAAAAAAGAGGGCAATACAACATCTTTTTTTTTTTAACGCCTAAGAATGTTTCTGGTATATTGATTTCTGCTGCATCGCCAAATTGCAGTTAGGCATTTCTTCGTAGTAATGAGCAATGATTCAAATTTAATTGTGTGTGAGACAGTGTGTGTCAAATGCAATCGATTGGGGAATTGTTTTCATTGCAAATTTATGATGAATCTATTATTGTTCTTTCTTTTTTAAAACTGAAATTCAATGTTAAATAGATTCTATTATGTTTTACTTGTACATATATTCAAACACTGTAAATATTATTCTTATTCAAATGTTATGTACAGAATTGACATGTTATGAGTCAGTAATATATCCATGTTAATATTGAATTTATTTGTTTAAATTAATTTTGAATGCTGGTTGACTCAAAGTTGCCTCTCTTGTTATGATGTTACAATTCCTGTTCAAATATATTTATTTTTGATTCATTGAAATCAAAAGAAACATTCCTTTTTTCATCAATCCATTAAGATTATTTTCCACGTTGTATTGGAGTAGAGAGTGAGAGGGGAGAGAAACAAAGAAAAGAATTGATGATATGGAATAGAGACAAACAAATAAGGGGAAGGAAAGGAGAGAGAAAGAGAGAAGGGGGGGGGGGAGTCAGATATAAAGAGTGAGTAAAACATGAAAGTCAAAAGGAGGAGTTCAATACAAGATGAAAATTGTATGAAAAAGATGCATGGTACAAAGATGAATACAACATATGAAACTGAGAAAGAGAGAGAAAATAGGGAAGATATTCAATGGGAGGTCAGATAGAAAACTCCAGGAGAGTGAAAGCCAAAAATGAAAATAATGTTGAAGAGGGGAAGAGACAGAATATAAAACAGATAGACAGACTGAGGATAGAGTCAGAATGAGTGGAAATACAATTGAGAGAGAGAGAGAGAGGGGGGGGGGGGAGATAATAACACAAGACAGAGTAATATTGATTGGAAGCGACTGGACATAGAGTAATTTAAAAATATAGAAAAAAACCTAGCACTCCTTAAGAATACTTGATTTACTTGGCTTTAATGACTGGTAAGCTGTCCACCAAAGGGAATTATGTTGGTGAAAATTTGGCTAATCCTTCAAAAGATTGAAAAATTGAAACTCACACAAACACATCCATACATACATTCTGATAATAATGTCTCTAAAAACAATAAAATGCAGTTTGTTATGCTCCAAATGATATTAGATTATAATCAGATCATCATCAACTTCACCTGATCATTATCATCATCACCATCCTCATTCATCATCTTGGTCATTATCATCATCACCTTCATCATCATTATTCTCATCACCATCACTTTCATCCATTCATCTTGAATACCCACATTCAGCACATGAATCAATATTAACACTAGACCATAAGCAAATACAACTACAACAAACACTAGACCATAAGCAAATACAACAACATGAGACAAGTAATTTCATTTTTATAAAGTGTATTTTTGTCTTGAACTATATAAAAAAGACAAAGTAGACTTCGATTGTAAACAGATTACGTGAACATAATTTGACGATTCTAAGTGATTTCCAATAAGTTATCATGCACTTCATCTGAGAAGTCTAATAACTTACATAATTCTAAGAGTAAAACATAAATAATTTTCATAATATGCACAATACTTTTGATGGTGCATTTTGAATACAACATCTTCAAAAACCTAAGGCAAATAAGGTTGGTAAAACCTAATAATAAAACAAAAATAAATGATACTCTAGATGTCATAGGGCACCATCTCATTAAGAAACATTGTTCATAAATACAAAAACATGTACATTTATAAGGTAAACATGCTTTATGAATTGTTTAACGTTTGGATTTTAGGTCTGTATAGTAGCAGTTTCAAGAAAAGAAAAGAAAAATACTTGGGATCATGCCAAAAACATGGCCTGATTGGAGAAAGCATGAGAAAGGATACCAGGCAATAAACCTTTTAGAGTACTGTAACAGAGTTACATAACATATATCTATATACAGCATTATAAATGTTGTTCCAAGATTGATATGTACACATTAAGTTTAATCAAGATTACATACAGAGTTTGGATAAATTAATTTCCAGTCTAGCATTGTCATAAATTGTAAAGCTTTACTTTGTCTCCCCCACTTTCTTTCTCTTTAAGAAGCACAATGGCAGTGAAAGAATCTTTTCTAATGGTTTAACTATTCCATATCTAGTTCCCAAGAAGGAGAGACAATAATCCAGTTCCCCTTTATCTTAATATCTGGATCTTTAATACACAAAACTAGCATTTATAACTCAAGCATGCAGACCATTTGCAAGTGACCTTTTAAATTTTCATAAAATTCAGTATTTTCCTAGAGTTGTACAGAGAAATTGGAATTATAAATGGGAGCAACCTAATTTATGTAGGCATTGGGTTAGAATTCCCTCATTGAAGTTATTGAATCTAATTTTTAGTGATATGGACATAGTCATATCGGTAACTATGCAATTTCATGAGCTGTTACCATGCAGCCAATAGTGTGCTGTTGACTACTAATATGACATAGCAACTATCTACAGGAATAGTGAGTAGATGAAGCGAGTACCTACCAAAGTATAGTTTCGACAAGGCATGCAAATGAGTGAATAGTAAAAGCCTGAATGAATGACCTTTGACCCTGGATGCACAATGTGCTACACTGCACAGAATATCACAGACACAGATACAATGTACCACGCATACTTTGAACAATATATATAATTACAAAACAAAGACATGTAAAAGAGAAGAGTGAGCTTTAGCAAGGCCTCTTGTAAGTAACCAACATTCTTTGTTCATTGCTTGTACATAACCCATTGAAAGAATTTCAAATCAATCGCTGGTCGATGACCATGTCATCATGGTTGCCTTTTTTCTCCCCCTCTTCCAATTCAATTTATGTTTTTAATATAAACATGCATGTATTAAGAAATTAGGTAAATTGAAGTCTTAAATTGAAGAGGAAAAAGGAAGGAGTATGTGAATCATATGTCACTCATAAAAAAGGTAAAACATGATGTAAACAAGAAGCATGAACCATTTCTATCACAACTCTATTTCTGTCCTCACTGTATCTGCAGAAAGGAGCCATATGAATATGAATGCTGACTTAGATTCCAACTTCTTTCTTCCCCATAAGCAGGTATAGTTCATCAGCTTACTTCCCATTTCCAGGTAAAAGAGACCATTTCACAACTTTTCTATTTCCTAGGCTGTAGCTTACCCCCATTCCTGACAAAATAGACAACATTTCTTAATTATAAATATCATTTGAGTTAAGACATGCCTCACTAATACTGAAGCAAGATGGCATGGTACTTTGAAAATACATCCTCTTGGCGCCGACGGCAGAAGGGATGCCAGATCCCATTTGCTTGTGACGATACAGGAATCGCAGAAGTCGTACCGCCAATGTTCTACTTCATCGCATGATTGAAAAGTCAAGTGAGGTCTTTCTCAGCAATAAAGACATGTCCTTCCAGATTGCTGTCATGTTTTCATAGTGTCTTTGTTTTCACATTTACATGTCCCGTTGGGTTTAACTCCTGGGGTTACCTTTCTGCTGAACAGGCAAGTAGAGTTTGAATTCTGCGGGAAGTTCATCTTCAGAGTACAGTCTGTCGGAGAAGTAAACTCGTCGGATTCGGCAGTTAGCATGGATCTGTAAAATGAAAATAAAAAAACCATAAATATTAATACTATTTAAAATCCAATTTAACTTGTTGACTTACAAATTTCCAATCACTGTAGGCTTATAAAGGGAGCATCAATTAGTGACCTTGCAGGGTGGTCTAATTCCCCATGGCCAAACTAGTACAGACAGGCTTTAAGAGGACCAAATAAATTCTGTAAACTCAACATATGCATGGCTTTTGGGCATCCCATGGAGGTTTTGGAGGACCAAAGATTTTTTGCAGATTGAGAATTGAGATTATGCATTGAAGATGTGAAGAATTTTCCCTTGGCTCCCCCCCCCCCCCCCCCCCTGCAATCCCATGTGCTTGACATTAGCACCAAGGGTGTTTAACACTAAAGAGGGCACTGGGTACTATCAACTATCAAATGGTGGCAAGCTGCCATTTCTGTCGCATAGGTCCAATTCCACTTTAAAGAAGGTGCATAAAAGAGTCCAATCAGCAGTCTTCAAGAATAAATAGGTCATCTCCATCTTTCAATTGAATACAGGGAACCATAACACTACTTGAGAAGATGAAAAACATTCATAAAATTAAAAATATTGGCAAAACATACCTGAACTCGCAATGTCTCGATGTAGTTTGTTCCGTACGCTCTCCTTGTGAAATCTGAGAGATTGAACTGTGTGGTCAAAGAAAAAAAACAGAAATAATAAATATATTGTTGACAAAGAAAAATGCTTAAAGCTGAAAGCATCTGAATATATGATGCTTCATGAAGCCCCTTTGGTAATGGAACAAATAAGAAATATTTATCACTATCTACATGTAGTTATGTACCACCATCCTCTAGTCATCTAAATATGTAACAAATTACTTAATATCAACAAGTTTTATCTTCAAAGTAACTTGTTGCAGCTTATGTATTATCAGTACAATAAGAAATTTTCAAAAATCATATATTTATTTTCAAACCTCAGGTTTACAAATCTGAAGTTCAAAAAAATTTGAAGTAGATTATTAATTCATCTGATAAGGGCAGTATTAATTAGGATTGGTACATTTAAAATATATATGACCATCCCAAATGATGCTAAAGGCATAATTTACAATATAACTATGAATAAAACAACTACATACCTGAATTTGATTCCAGCCGTCATCTAGCCTCATGGGCATGGTACAGATGAAAGGTTTGACTCGCGTCGTGCTCTGGTAGTTGCTCGCCCTGAACCGTCTCCTGATGTTCTTGTCGTCGAGGACCTGGACCTCGAATGTGAAGTACTTCTTAGATTCTTGATGATCATGACTAAAAATGGGAGCTTGATGCCGAGCGTCTTGTTTGCATCGCCAGGACATGTGATGAACGTTGTGCTGACATTTGTACCCACAATTTCAAGAACTAGAGATTGGATGTCGTTGTCTGTTATTCTTTTAATGTGTCCATTTCTGACCTGTGAAAATAAGGAAAATGGATTCATTTAATGACAAGTTATCAAAAATCAAAACCATTACTTTGATACATATTGATTCACTTAATTCATAGCTAAGTTTTTTTCTTATTTAGCATAGAATAATTAAGAAAATGATTTACCCCCCCCCCCCCCAAAAAAAAAAAATATATATAAAAAAATCAATCTATTGCAGTGAGGAAGAGTCATATTTAAGAAGAAAAAGAATCTGATTATGCAAAATCATAGTATAAGCTACCGGTACATAATAATCAAAATCATCATGTGAGAAGGGGAAAAAAGACATAACTATATATCAGAATAAAAAAGTATATCCCTCTCTGTGAATATGTATCAAGCCTGTATTGTAATTTGTATACTATTATATCAAACAAATGTTAATGGGTCAACTTTGAAGTTCTCATGCTCTTAAAGGATAATACAAAATATAGTAATGGTAAGCGTATAGAGTAAATCATATATCGCATTATATTATTCACAGATTTATTGAATATTAATATCTTATATATCATGAAATGTAGATAAAAAATACAGCCAACAATCGATTCAAAGTGGGTTTACATTCTTAGCCATTTATCATTAAAAAAAATCATGATTCCTAAGCTTCATATCTCCTCAAAATTAACTTCTAAAATGCAGAAAATGTGGTTTAAATGTAATTGTCAAGGGACATACCAATTAAATACCGTTTCAGAAGAAAAATAAAGAATTCTGTTCATGTTTAGTTTCGGTTAATTGATGAGCAAATCGAGTCAAATACAGACAAGAACTTTACAGTCCTGACGATCCACATATCGTCGCGTTTTCACGAACCGGCACAGCCCAACGCGCAACGAAATAAGTACATTCTGAGAAAAACGCGTTTTACGTTTAGCCCGTTTTGAATTCGCCAGAAACATGCCTTATGTCAAATTTTATATCACAAAATACATATCAATGAAAGGAAAATATTCTGTATTTTCTATACATTCCATTTGTTAAGCATAATGACAATTACTATTAATATTACGAAGCTTTGGACTCTCGTGCCGGTTCGTGAAAATATTATTTTGCTGTTTACGTAGCAAAAAAATTTTCACGAACCGGCACAAGCCACTGTGTCGTTTTTCCTATGTAACTTTACGCGCAAGACAAAAGCGCTCGCGCTGTCTTAGCGCGTATTTTATTTTCACGAACCGGCACAACCGCCTGTGTCGCGTCGTCTAGGTCTTGTAAGCGCAAAGATATTTTCACGAACCGGCACAGCCCATTGACTTATAACGGCGCGTGCCGGTTCGTGAAAATATGAATCGTGCTTTTTGGCTCGTGTGTTGTTTTTGTCATTTGTGTAACCATGGATATCTCAAAAACTAAAGCGTTTTGGATGCTGAAATTTGGTGAGATGAAAGATTGTTGATAACTTATGCTAAAAATGCAAAAAAAATAAAAACTACATTTTGAAGGGATTTCGGTGGCTTGTGCCGGTTCGTGAAAACGGCGACGATATATAGAAATAACATGAAAATATATCAAATTTAGTTTAAGAGAGGAAATATATATATATATATATATATCTTATTGATATGATGATACATAAACATAAACACAAACAGAGCAACTATCACAAGAGCGCACAACATCAATAACAGGCACCGGGACCAACAGTGCACTGTTTGGCACATGACCGCTCCAGTGCTGCTAAGCAACACCCCTCTCCGTGCATGCATAGGATTGCATACCACTACCACTGCCAGCGGAGGGTGTACACGTTAACCAGAAAGGCGCGCATGCCGGAGTCCCTGCCATCACAAAATTCGTCTTAAAATTCCACAAAACTCACCTTCTTATCCCAAATCTGGAGAGGTTTGCTGCCGATGCTGTAGAGAATCGACAGGAACCCACTTTGAAACGTATTTTTGAACATTTTCGGTTAATTTCTAAGCTCTTTGTTGCAGAGAGGAGTTTCGCACGTCAGGTCTCTGTGACCTCGTTGATTGCTAATGGCGAATCTAGCGAACTGGCGGAGCTTGTGTTGTCGTTACGGCGCGAGGGCGCTGCCCATAGTTCCATCACCATGGAGACTTCGTTGCACCTGCTATGAATGGACTGGTAGTACACGATCATCGATGCGCAAAGGTTTTCTCGCACAAAGCACTTCGGTGTCTTGCGAGACGTAGATGTTAGACGTTACCAATCAGACGTTAAATATATATGGTTTACGATTTCCCGCTTTCCAGTGCACGTACTTCTCTCTGTTTAATATGTAGAGTAGAGCAGCGTTTGATTAAAAAAGAAGAAGGAACATGATGTGTTTTTTTGCCAGCTAAATTAATTACATAACCCAGGATAAACTTGCAAATTATTATTTAGATAAGGGTGTCTATGTAGAACTAATTATGAAGATATAACTTGTCTATATTGATAATAAAATCAAAATAATTATGTCTAAAACAATGTAGTAGGCTTTTTTCTATTTTGAATATCAAATTCTCTTGTTGAAGTATGTATGTGCTATTTCCATTCATCAAGCAAAACATTTAATATGAAGCCCATGTTTTCCTTTCACGTCAACCAAGCTACAAGTGTTTACAAACTCAGACTAGCTATGTACGGTGTTTGTGTGTGCTTCCTTCGGTGTTGACTGTCTACGAGGAAACACTACATGACTAATTTGGTGTAAAATCGCTGGGATGAGGGCTTGAAAGAGTCATCAGTCAATGGGAGAGCTAGTAGAAGCAATCTGATTGCGGCGATTATTGTTTGGATCGGGGGGCTTTAGCTTATATGCTCGGCTTATCGGCTTTGATAATTTCTAAAAGAATAGACCACTCTTTTTCTTCCATTCATGACTACGCTCAAAATAACTTTAGCCAAGTTTAGTTTAGCGATACAGTTGCCGCGGGGAACGTCAGCACATAGTCAAACACAAAGCTCTTCCATGAAGATGGTAGATCATTTGAAAATATATATTCTGTCTTCGATCTATATCTAACAGAGTGTTGTCAATAAGAACCAAAAACTGAGGACCCTGCTTCAAAAGATATAGTCACAAGTCCATTCTGTGTTATAATATCAGAACAAATACATTTTCATATATATCTTGAGTTACAATTACGTGTATAAATTGCGATTGCATAAAGATGATAAACATATTCATATATAGTAAAGACAATGTTAAAGTTGTCCAATGATGAAAAGTATGACATCCGGATATAGCTGTTAACATCCACATACATTTTACATCATCTGGTTGCCATGGAAACCGAACTGGCATCCTGCCTGTTCAATTTTGATTAGCACCGAAGTGACCCAACGATACTGATGCAGGCGCGTACACAGGGGGGGGGGGGGGGGGGGGGGGGGTTAAACCCCCTTTGTATTTTTTTCGTGTAAACCCCCCCCCCCCCCTTTGGTTTTTTTTCCCATGGCTGACCTAAAAAAGCTGACCTTACCCCCCCCCCCCCCAACGGAGCAAAATGTCAAATTTTCAAATTTCGAGACAAAAAAAAAGTGTCCTCTTACCCCCCCCCCCCTGCACTATGGAGGCGGGGGGGGGGGCATTAATTGGTCTTAATAGGTAGAACTGGAAAACATGTGAAACGGAACAAGACCATCGAGTACGTGAGATAGGGTTGTTGCAGGTTGTCTGTCCTTCTTTTTTTTTTTTCTTTCTTTCCATTAAGACAAAAAAAAGTTGTTGTCATCATTCATGTCATCATTGGGGGCCGGGGGGGGGGCATGTTTCCGTAGCTCTGCGCCAATGATTTTGATAGCATCTGAAATGAAAGTGACAACAGGCTTGTGTTTTACATTACGACGACTCATCAACTATTCTTCGATTTAGGAAGAGGAATTTTGAAATGAAACAGAACCTAAGCATCAACTTTTCAAAATTCAACACTTATAAACTGTCTATTGAAAATTGTATTATAACAAGAATTATATCGTTCTCGTTCCAGATGGCGCCCTCTTTTTTTCTTCTTCTTCTTCTCTCTCTCTCTCTCTCTCTCTCTCTAAACTTGTAAGCTTCTCTGTGAATTTGCGCCGTTAGAATAGAGACATATTATTATTATTATTATTAACAGAGATGATACTTAGTATTTATTTAATTGCTTTCTTTCAGACAGTATATTGTTTGGAACAATTCCTCGCGATCAGAAAAGACACCAGGCCTTTCAAAAGCCCTAAGCATATACCATCTACGTTTTAGAATATGCGACAGTCTGATACTATTATTACCAGCCCTGGTATAGATTATTGACAGACATTTCCCGATTGTTTTAAGAATAGGCTTTTTGAAATCAAATCGATATGTGATTCATATCTTATCTAACGTTGTGGTATGTTATTGTAAATAATAGCTTATTTGTATGTCTGGACCTCCCTGAAGAACATGCTCAATATATCAATGGCTCTGAATAGAGCAATCCAGTCGTATGTTAAACAAGTATTCGTTTCATATTTTATTGTTCATTATTATGTATGTACTGTATTTAACTAGTTATCATTTTCTGTACTAAAATAAACTAAGTAACCAACAAAACATGTACTCAAATTTGACATTCTCATTCTAGGAGGAAAATAAATGGTACAATCCCAAGTCATTCATTCATTCATTAATCCACACAGCAACTTTCTATCATATCGATGATGCACCTTGCTCACACCAGCTAGGGACAAACTACAGACCGAACAAGCATTTTATTACCATAATGGCAATTCCTGGAAAATGAGGTAGAAAATATGCACCTAATTCCGATATATTATATGTAATTACTGATTTTTTTCCAATTGTGCCTTATGCCATTTACTTTGTAGTTGTGATTGAGCTTACCAAATAATTATAACGATGATAATTATATAACAATTTGTTGTTACCTATGTTCAAGTCAAACGTTCTATTCTGTATCCATCTGTATCTTATTGATGTTTATAATCTGTAATCTTGTACTGACATGCAAAGAAACAAATTCCCAATAATTGGACAATAAATTTGAATATGAATATGAACAATAATAATAAAAATTGAATAAAAAAAAAAAACAGTCAGTTTGAGTGTGTGGCCGAGGTACATTATTGTATAAAGGTCTTTTACACGAACACCAAGTTTCTTTGTAGAAATTTGAACTGAAAGCCAAACAAAACCTAGTAGGATATGACGAATGGACAAAAAATATAAACAAAGTATATATAACATTACGCCAAAGACGCTTAATAACAAAATTAAAGGATAAAACAGTCTCTCCGATACATAATGTTTCTTCCACTTTATTTACAGCTATGTTCATGTACAGAATATAAATCAAAATTAGAACCTACATTGTGAAAAGCAAACATTTTCATAATTAAGCTAAATATACCTTGTATGTTTTCAGGGTACAGGCCTAAGTTTGATTGTAAACATTTTACTCTTTATAATGAGTGCACCAAATCTAAAATAGCATTTACCTGAAACTGTATGCAATACTTTAGTTAGTATTAGGCCTTTATAAAAATGTTGTTGTATTGCCCTTTAGGTGCCAGCACCTAATATTTACCTATATATATTTTTGGGTGTTTTTTTTTCTTCCCTCTTTGGGCTGATATTTTTCAGGTTTAATGCTTTGATACATATTTTTTGATGCATTAAACATTTTTTTCTTCGAAAAAAACGGATAAAAAAAAAAATTATAAAAAGCTGATCATAGATTTTAAAACTTTTGGATCCGTCGCAAAGGGCAATACAACAACTATTTTTTCTAAAGCCTTATACCTTAGGTATCATAATATACAGCACTAACAATAGAGCATAAATCGATTTCAATTCAGGCTCATATTATACACATCTTGATGTAATTTGGCTCATATAATAATAAAGTCCTAAATGATCATTTGGATCTTATTCAGCTAGTTTGGAAAACATTTAAAACAAAATCAATGTATCTATTTCCTTGCCTGTATACTGTTAGAAACAAGATAAATAATGGATAAACAAATGCCTTTATATTTGATGAGCAAACTAAAATCTGGCAAATTTTACACACAAAAAATATTTTCAAAATAACAAGATATCACCCACTTGGGCAATCAACTGCAAGAGTTGGGCTGACACAATCATCTATTTCCTCAAGTTTGACATTTTCTATTTATATTATTTTCTACAGGGAAGTGGCAAAAAAAAATCGAATTATAAATCAGATGAACGGAAATCTTTCATATGAAAAAACTCTTCCAATATCATAAATCTCATGTCATTTGTGGATTGCAATTTTATTTGTATAATTATAATGTTTCCACTGTAGAAGTTGGGCAAGCACACTTTGTTTGGGCCAGTATATAATCACAATGTAATAAAGGGGATATGAATAGACAAGTTAACAAAAAAGTATACAAAGACTAAGCAATTGAAAGAATATATGAATATGATAAGCAGTGAATTCCACCATTCATGAACGACTGACAATTCATTAATTTTGTATACAATTTCACTTTTTTTACAGTGCAAAATTGAACATGAAAAAATAAACAACAATGATCAAATAACAAGTACAGTACATAATGAAAGGTTATGAATAGCTTCAAATACAGAATACTACAGCTTATCTTGTATTCATCGATGAATAACTACTATATAAAATAAATTAAATTAAGTAGCAATGAGCAACAAATGACAATATCTGTATACAGAAAAACTAAAGAGTTTGCAAGATTCATCAAGCATCTTGGAGAAACCTGTGTTTCCCTCCTTTTTAAAATAAATCACTTCTAAAATCATAGATAAACTGTTTCAAAATATTAATCTGAATTAGTCTTTTGATAGCCTTCAAAGAACATCTTTTTGTTGTTGTTATAAACATACTCCTAAACATAAAATTTTGATGAGAATGTGAATATGAAATCAACCACTCTGCAGCCCTCATGTGTACAGGTTTTCAAAAGGAATTTCAAAAAGAATACACATGTTCTATTTACATAAATATGGCCTAAGTTTGGGAAAAATCATGCTCAAGGATGGTCACAACTCTCATTGGTTTTGAATCCAGGACTTTCAAGTTAGTGTCCCTTCCAACAAAGTTAGTGTGGGGCCCTGTATGAAGGTTGGAAACCTGTACAAATGAAGATTTATTTGAGCACACCATGTTTTGTGAGCAAACTCTAGATATGAGTATGACTACCATTTAATCATCGACAACAAATGAAGAATTGGAAATACAATTGCTCATATTTTTATCATTCAGTAAAAAAAGTTATTACGTGTCTGATGCTGTGATAAAATACAACTACCGTAATTCACATTCATACAGCTTTGCAATGTTGATGGATTTGACTAGTTTCTCCGAAAATGAAAATTTCTGCCTAATACTCCACTTAACAATATAAAGAAACTGTTATATTATCTTCCAGTTCCACATATTCCTTTAATTTTCAGAAAGCACAATAAACTGCCTACTGATATGTAAATATATTGTTAATTGTTTGCTTAGAGCAACAAGAGAGTTAAAACTTTTTTTCCCTTTACAGACTTTACACAGAGCTAATGACATTATGGCTCTATGCAAACTTTACTTCAATGTACGAACTTTACTTTAGCAAACAACGAAATACCAAGAATAAACCTACAGTAGTAAAGAGAATGCAACTGTGATATGCCTAGGATATATAATACACACATTATTCAACCGGTACATGTGTAGCAGGTGACTTTCAAGAGAACCAATCAATGCAGATCATTATTTATTTACATATATATAGCACGTCATTGGTTAACACTTTCTTATTCACAGTTTACTTTGTACAAACAACATCATCAGTTTTTGCATTGATTGTTTTCATAAATCGTCTCTGTATGTATGCATCATCGCATATAAGTATGTACATCTATATAGGCTAATTCAATTTCAAATCCTGACAAAAATCTCCCCCTTGAATAATGAACACTTATTCTTACTAAAATGAGATTAGATATTTACTTCTGAAACACAGAAGATTACGATATTTATTAGTGTGGTTCAATTGATTGTTGGAAACATTCATGAAAAATTGCGATAGACATTCCAAATTCAAAACAATGCAGGACACCAAGCAGTGTGCAGCGAAGCATACGTGTGACTCAGACTGATCACTTAGCTTGAGAAAGTCCACAGGAGTGGATGAAAGCTAAGGTGGTAGAGGCTTAAAAGCTAAGGTTGGTAGAGGCTTAAAAACTACATGTTATCATTATCCCCAACTGATGAAAGTTTTCTGTATCAATACACCTTTGAAGTGTTGGAATCTGATAACATTCAGTCTTTTCCAGATATAAATCTTACTTTTTACTCTATATACATACCAAGCTTTAACGTTTTTCAATAACAGAATAAATGAAAACGGCAATGATTGAGAGATTTTGCAGCTAATGATTATAATTGCACGACTACCAAGTCTATCATTTCTTGCAAGTCATAGAGTCTATAGAAAAAATGCATAAACTTGATTTAGCTCTCATTTGAGTTGTTAGCTTTCTGGGCCACTATCAAGTATCAAACAATATTTTTCAGACAGAAGAAAATCAGTCACCAATAATTCTAAAATTAATTTCATTACATGACCAATAACAATGTCACTCAGCAACAGATGTGCCAAGAAGATGTTCAAAAGTTGTTTTCCTGTTATTTATTAAAATCAATTGCATTTTTCAATTTCTCCCCTTTTAAGCAGGCTCAAACAAAACATTTCAGCTATTTTTTTGTAGTCTCGAGCGAGTTTTTGTGTGCAATGATTTTCAGAGTACCGGTATGTGATTTTCTGCAAGATGTACCGTAGTCATATTGTAATAATTTGCATGGTTCCAAAACCTAATACTACATAAGTTGCTTTTCCCTACATAATCATTTTTGAGAAATGCTTCTAGATATTTTCTTTCCAAAGGTAATACTAACACCAGCACTCAACATAATCTCTAACTTTTATACACACACAATTGAACACCTTGTTGGCAAAGGTCAAATGCACGTCATGTTGTAGTAGTGATACTCTCTGGGACATTCCTACAGGTCAAGGACACAGTGAGAGATTCAGTTTTGAGGACAATGCGCCGCGACAGAGCTGGGTTAGGAGAACTGGACCCCAACCTTGGGTTGGCATTGAACAGCCCAAAAGTGGTGCTAGGATCTGGGAGCTCATTAGCATGAGTCAGGAACAGGTCCTTAAGCAGTTCCAGCTCCTTGTGGAGCAGCGTGACCCTCTGCTCCAGGTCTGCGTTCTCCTTCTTCAGCTCTGTCACCCGTACCTCCGTCTCGGAGGCCTTCTGCCGGCTCTTCTGGCGACTCTTCCGCACAGCTTCATTATTGCGCTCCCTACGCCGCTTGTACTCATCGCTGTCCTTCTCACACCCACTCTTCTTCTTGGAGCTGCTTCCTACCTTCCCGCCGCCAGCCTTGAGATCATCCTTGGACAGTTCGATGCCTGTAGAGTCTGGGACCATGTCATTCTCTTGGCCAGTCTCGTGTCCGGATGAGGGGTTGCTTGTCGATGGCATATCTTTAACTGGGGATACAGGGACCACATTAATCTCTTGGCTTGTCTCAGGTTGAGGCACCGAGGAGTGGCTACTCGAGGATGCCATTTCTCTGGCCGGGGGTTCGAAGACTACAATAATCTCTTGCTTGATGTTCTTTTGAGGCAACAAAGAGGGGTTGCTTGTGGATGCCATATCTAAGGGTTGACAAGGCTGACTGTTCTTCAGATAGCTAATCACTGTGGCTGATCTGTTCACGGGATGGTAGGTAGCTAACTTACCACATCGCTTTACAGGGAGGCCATGGTGGTATCTCCAGATGTAAAGAGAAACCAAAGAAAACCTGAAAAATAACAAAAGAAAATTAACGTAAAACTAAAAATATGACCCCCCCCAAAAAAACAAAACAAAACAAGAATGAAATAGTGTAGTCTCCTCAAGCATGATGAAAGAATAAAAAAATAACAAACCCTGAAAAAACAAGGAAAGGAAATGAAAGTTGACTTGTTATCAGTATAACCTCTGAAGTAAAATTATGCCCAAACGGCCATACAAAAATTACATTTAAATACAATGACAAAAATGTTAAAAGGATATGCTGCAATTTCCCTGAAGAAGAAAATCAAAATAATAAATAATATAAATATTAAATGTAAATGACGGTTTCCTATCAAAATCTTAAATAAACTTCATCATTTACAGGTTACCTTCGTCGTACCATCTTTTTCAAATGTATTTGCACTTTGAACAATATTAAACACTGAGTTTTAAAAAAAAACTATTTGTTTGGTTTTCTGCTTTCACTTTGATGCAAACATTTATTGTGTTGATCTATCAACGTAAGGAAAACAAACAAAAAAACTCTTTGGGCATATTCTACATCAATGGAAGACATTTGAAAAGTGGAAAATTAAATACAATCTACTTTCTAAACTGTTCATTACAACTCTGAATATTTTACAGAACTAAGTCGAGGAAAAAAAATGAATGAAAAAATGAAAAACAAGAAACAAAACAAGGTTAACAAACATCAATAATTGAAAATAATGTTAGACATCAAATTTGTTCTTAATTTTAAATTTAAATTAGGACAATGAACAAGAAAACAGACATGAACCAATAACAATGCAGAATCACGCCTTTCGAGGGATAAATCATTCAACAATATTCAGTGAGTTTGAGAGTAATGTTGTTAGCAATAGCTATTCGGTTCATCAGTGTTCATGGAAATGCAACTTGTAAAAAAAAATTGTAGTACCCAGTAGACCTAATCACAATTCAATTGCGCAATACTTCCCCTATATAAATTGTGCAATTCTCTATCATTGGTCTAGATCTAGTCTATATATAGATATTAGGATCTACATAGAAACCAGCAATTAAATAAGCAGAAAATAATTGTATTACAACAACGATCTTAAACATTTAAAAGAATGAAGAAAAAAAAGGCATTGGCATTGGCCATTGGCTATTGGTACATTATTTTATACACAAGTCATAAACACGGAGAACGAGATTTTCTGTGCACAACAATGTATTGTATGCACAGAGCAATAAATTCAAAATGCATACGATCGCTTGTAAAATTGGGAGTGGTTAATTTACTCATTTCCGCGCTTTTAGAAGCCATGGAAATACATGAAATTCATAATAAGAATTGCACATATCCAAACGTGCTTATACACTGAAATATATATTTAAAATAGTTCTTACCTCGCTGAATTCGAGTGTTTTTAGCACCGTTTCCCTCGCCGTAGAGCAACGGTACGTGTCAGTTCAGCGCCGCCTGTGTATAAAGTATTGCCGCAAAAAAATGCATCAAAACAAACACACGCTCCTTTTTCCAGGGGTATTGTGCAATAGATCTACAACTCGGGAGTGTCAATTGAGGTTCGTACATATACACACAAGTACGCTACACTAGTGTACGGTTAACACACACCACACACACACCGAATGGGAAAGTACCGCGAAAAAGTGTTTAGTTGTTACGCAATATTATTCTGGCATTGGGGGTGAGAAATAGATTTTGAGCAAGAGTCAAAGAGAAAGGGAGCTAACTAAAGATAGATAAATCGGAAGGACAAGTAGGAGTGAAGGAGATAAACGAAGAGGAAGAGAAGGAGAAGAAGAATGAACCTTGTGAGGGGGAAGAATATAAGAATGAGTAGATCTAGGGAAAAAGAATAACAAGAAAAGAAGAATATAGAAGAAGAAAAAAAAAAGAGGAAATAAAGATCGAAAGAAAGAGGATGATAAGAAGAAGACAAAAACAGGAAAGCAAGAGAAGATAGGAAATATGACAAAAAGAAAGAAAACTGATCAGCTATAAACAAGGAAAAAGAAGCCTCCATATCTTTTCATCCCATTCTTTCTCATCTCTCTGAAACTTATATTTTTCCTTGTGTTCAATTTAGTCAATGTACCTGTCATCCATCTTTCTTTTGATCCAAACTCTCATAAACATGGAATGACTGCAATTCTCTTTTGTTTTTCCCCTTTCTTTCTCTCCCTCTCTCTC